GGCATGAAAATCTGCTCAACAAGCTCAAAGCAATGGGATTATCGCCGAAACTTTGCACTTGGTTTGAAAGTTACCTAAAGGACAGATCCATTTATGTTGCACTGGATGGCCAGAACTCCAACTCTTACCAAATAAATGCTGGTGTGCCACAGGGAGCAATCCTTTCGCCAACTCTTTTCCTGATTTACATAAATGACCTCATAGATAAAACAGTAAATCCACTTTATTGCTTTGCAGACGATGGCAATGTAGTCTCCTCACTCATACCACCCACAGGTCTTTCCGCACGTGAATTCCATCATCTTAGACTAATTCAAATATCGCAGATAAATAACGACCTGGAGATAACAGAGGACTGGGGAAACAAAAACCTTGTACAGTTCAACGCGCAGAAAACCCAAGCAGCTCTGTTTTCAAAAAAGACCAGCACCGGTGAGCCAAACATCATGCTATCTGGAAGTGCTGTCACATTACAGAGTCAGTTGAACATCTTGGGGGTTACTGCAGAGACCAACATGTCTTGGCACAGTCACGTGGCAGATATTGCTAAAAGGGCCTCTCAAAAGCTGGGGGTGCTATTTCGTACAAGACATCTGTACACACCAAGCCAATTGCTGACACTCTACAAAGCCCAGATTCGACCAACTATGGAGTACTGCTCACATATATGGAGTGCAGCACCCAAACATAACTTAATGCTTTTGAATACCGTGCAAAAACTAGCTATCAAGCTGATCAATGACCCCGCACTTACTCGTAACTGGGATGGTCTCGAACATCGCAGATCTGTGGGCGATTTATCTCTCTTCTACAGGTACTATCACGGAAAATGCTCTGAAGAGTTGGCACGTCTGATTCCACCGAGAGTAGCACCTACCAGGCGAACCCGTCAAACAGACGGTAACCATGAATTTACTGTCAAACTAGAGGCACCAAGAACCTCATTATATAAGAATTCATATCTCTGGAGAACAGCATCGCTGTGGAATAAACTCCCTGCGACGGTTTTCCCTGCAGGTTACAACCTGAACCGTTTCAAGACCAACATACACCGACATTTCCGCGCACTTGCCGCTTCTCGAGCGTGATAGGACATTTCCTTGCGAGTGCGCATATCCGTAAAAAAAAAAAAAAAAAGGTTTAAAATATGCATAACCCTGTCATAATATTGACTAGGCTTTTCTGAGTTTTGTTGTCTCAACATTACGAGATCTCTGTTTAAACATGCCTCGTCTCTTTGATCTGCGAAATGCCTGCTCAAAGTTAGTTTCAAATTATCCCAAGTAGTAACATTTTCAGTACCTAGGATCAATTTTGCGTTCCCAGTTAGTTTTCCGATGATGCAATTTATCAAGTAAATATTTTGAAAATGGTTTGGTTGATTTGCATCATAGAAATTATCAATTAAACTTTGGTATACTGCCAAATATCTATTCAAATCGTTAGGGTTACCATCGAATTGTGGTACGCAATTTAAGTACTCAGGTTTAAATTGAGCCATATTGTTAATTGTATTAATATTATTTAAAATTAAATTATTTTGATTAGTGCTTGTATCAGTAACTGCAGCACTGTTATTTAATGTTTGATTAATATTTCTTATAAACTCTTCTGTATCAGAAGGTGAGTCAGTTGAAGGTAGAGATAGAGATAATAATCTTTCTGTTAATTCATCAATATCAGACATTAAAGAAATTACAAATTGCACATTGCACTTACATGAAGATTATTCCGTAGAGCAACATTTATATGGCCAAGAATTTCTGGTAGGCTATGTTTATCCTTTCAAATTAATCTTGGTCTCGCGAATATTGGCTATTTTGGTCCAATAATCCGATTGCTTGAAGGCAGTTCTTTGGTTTTCGATTTCGTAAAGCCACTCCGACACTTCTCGCAAACACTTAACACGATTTTCACACAAGGGTATAGATTCGAGTTCCCGGTTAGTCCGATTTCCGAAAAGTTCGTAAACCAGTTCCAAAAACAAAAAATCCGGACGACTGCGCCAGTTATCAATACGTAGGCCGATAACAAGTTTTTAAAAAACAATTTATTCACTAAATTACAATAGAGAAATACTTCGCGTTGCGCGTTACAAAGTTTCAAATAAGAAATACCTATAATTACAATTCAACTGACTGACTATTCTAGGCGGGCAGCGATATTTATAATAAAGAAAAGCGAATTAAGCAGTTTATATGAATGGTCAGCAAATAGAGCTGACATTACTTACATAACATTTTGGTTTGGGTGCTATCAGCACATACAGCTGTTAAATCAGCTAGGTGCTATTATTTGTGTATTTTAACTATAATTTATGAATTATGTTCTCTAAATAATGATCAAATGTTGTTAAATTACTATTATATTTATTATTAAATAAATAAATATTATTAATACTTCACTTTGTCGAGGGTCACCGGCCGTCAGTAGTGGAAATCCTGTACAGACTTGATCACGGCTTATTCAACCTAAACAGATTTGGAGCCAAGACGAAAGTATCGACGACATCGATAATTGAACTTCAATATGCGGATGAAAACTTCGTGATGGCCAGTACAAAGAAAGATCTTCAGGCAATTATCAATGCATTCAACCAGGCATACAGGAGAATCGGCCTATTCGACCGCATCACCGTACCGCAGCTTTGACAAGACGCAGATTCCGATTCAACATCGCTTGAAGTGTACTAGCGCAGCCTTAGGGCAACTTCTAGAGAGAGTCCTCAACAATCACGACATCAGCGTAGAAGACATATAAAAAGCCTAGAAAAACATCACTAGCGATGCCTAAGCAGGATCCTATGGATTAAATGGCAAGACCGACGAACAAACATAGTGTTCTAGAGGAGGCCAAAACAACTAGCATAGAAGCCTTCATCATTAAGCTGCATGCTCAAAACACGTCTTCCACGACAGATTCTCTACAGTCAACTGAAGGAGGGAAAACGAAATCAAGGAGGTCAACAAAAACGCTACACGGATGTTCTTGAGGAAAATATGGAAAAGTGCCGCATCGATACCAACAACCGCAGGAAGGAGCAACAGAACAGAGGAAGAGACAATGCTACCAGAGAGGGTGTGCCAAGACTATGTGCTAGAGTGTGCGGCTCCAGAATTGTTTTTTACATGTAAAAATGTCACTTTAAGGAATATTTATCGTTAAGTTTTTCTTAAAATGGTCAGTGCAAACGACCATAGGAAAAGAATAGGAGATAATTATACTCGGTATCGAATGATCCATGAAATCATGATTGACCATGAAAATCCTAATGGAACGAGCCAACGAATATAACATCCCAACATAAATTGCATTTGTCGACTTAGAAAAGGCTTTTGATAGTGTTGAACACTGGGCAGTGAAGAGCTCATTAATTAATAGCCGAATAAACTACAGATACACAGACCTAATGACCAGCATATATAGCGAAGCAACAATAACTGTTAAAATTCATGAGGGAACAAAACCAATACCCATAGGAAAAGGTGTCAGACAGGGCGACACAATATCACTTAAACTTTTCAACCAGGCCCTGGAAGATGTTTTAAAAAACTAGACTGGGAAGAAAAAGGTATAAAAATAGGCGGACAACACTTGAGCAACTTAAGATACGCCGATGATATCGCCCTAATAACTGAAAAGAAAGAAGAACTGACGGAAATGCTGGAAGAACTTGACACAGGAGCTAAAAACATAGGTCTCAATATGAACTACGCTAAAACTAAAACAATAACGAACACAGACGATGACATCACAATCAGAATAGGAAAAGAAAAAATAGACGAATATATATATCTAGGACAGATTATTAAAGTCAACAAAGAAAACCAAGCAGCAGAAATCAAGAGACGAGTTAGATTGGCTCGGGGAGCATTCGGCAAATTAAGCTACATCTTGAAAAATAGAAAATATCCACAATACCTCAAAACCAAAGTTTATAATCAATGTATACTTCCTGTCCTCACCTATGGATCCCATATATGGACATTTACAAAGTCAAACATGGATAAAATAACAAAAGCACAAAGATCGAGGGAAAGACAAATGTTACATGTGAAACTGATAGATAAAAAGAGAAACGAGTGGATGAGAAATAAAACGAGAATAAGAGATGATACAAAGGAGGTAGCAAAATTAAAATGGAATTTCGCAGGTCACAATATCAGACAAAAAGACGACCGATGAAATAAATGTATTTTAAACTGGAGACCTTGGGAAAATGAAAAAGGTGAGGAAGACCCCAGATGAGGTATGCTGATAACCTGAAGAAGCACGCTGGAGCCAGGTGGATGAACATGGCAACAGACAGAGAGGAATGGAGAAGACTGGGGAAGGCCTACGTCCAAAGATGGACTGAAGAAGGCTAAATAGATAGATAGATAGATCGAATGATCGCCTAATATGATGATGAGGGGATAGTTTTTCATGCATAAAAGATTTGGCTTCGTATACTTGACACATACCTACTGTTACTCCTTTTAACTTTCGATAATCTTGAAAAAATCAATGTGTTTTTATTCTCGCGAATGGATGCTTCCTCGCGGAGTACATTTCAATATTCCTATTGGATTGACGTTCTGATTTTTTTAAAGTAATTGCTTTCAGTTTTTTTCTAATGGTTTCAGCTATCCTACATCGCACGGATTTTGCTGTGTAGCGTTAGTTGGTGGCATTGGCACCAAAATCCACGATCCCGTCAGACCTTAGAACGCTTTTTTTTAGACTGACTTTTTTTGAAATCCTCTTTTATTTCTCGCAAATCGCTCTAATTCTTGCTCCATAACATATTATCAGCATTTTTGTTTTTTGCTGCATATTCTTGTATTAAGTATGTATCCTCATTATATTAGTGTAAATTATTATAGTCTGGATAAAAACTTGAATGGAGTCGAATTGGCAATTCTCGAAAAAAGCTTGGGTTTTATTGGGATATTGCTATTGCTATTCCACACCTATAATATGTAATTCAAAAAAAGTTTGAACATTTTCTGTTGTTTCAGGAGCGACCGGGTCGTAGCCTGCAGGGTGAGCCGAGTGTGCACCGAACCCAGCTATCTCGGCCAACAGCGCAGTTTCCTACGATACTGACAATCCACGACAACAAACGTGAGATTGATAAAAAAATTATATTATTTTTTATTTTTATTTTAAAATTTTCCCAGTCACCATGAATAGTTAGGTAGGTATGTATACCTAGCAAATGCTCATTTTTATTATTTTAGTAGATAAATCACTAAAAAAATTGTGAGTGAAATAATTGTCTGACCTAAAATGATATTCAAAGTGACTGATGTCAACAAGTATTCTTTCAAACTGCGATCAGCAAACCTTGATGAAAAAAAATCATAGCTAAATATTCATCGTCCATCACTGCACTATACAGAAATCCCATCCAGCTAAAATGTTTTTAATGAATTTTTAAGTTTTTCTTCGTTCATGGCTCTACTCAAGAGAAAAAGGGCGGTAAAACCATTTTCCGGATCATCCTTCATAAAACTATCATAAAAAGTTCTCAAAAGTTTCCCTTACTCTGGAAACTGAAAAATCTGGCTCTGCTCGAAAAGAACTATATACGTTTTAAAACTTTCCAGCAGTAGTAGCGCCTACACAGCAAGTATGTAGGGGCAAAGAATATAATAGACTCCGTCTATAGAAGACCCGTCCGCCGGCGAAAATATAAACCCGCGTGATGGCGCTACTGTGCTACCAAAATCCTTCGTTTCTGTGATTAAATTAATTTGAGGCACCAAATACACGGGTTATTGCGGAGCTGCGTTGCCAAGTTGTGACTGGCTATGTTCAGCACCGTGCAATTCACTATTATGATAACAAATAATTGGAAGTTTTGCTATTGGGTAGGTATTTCATGTGACTGCACCAATTTAAGTACACAAATTGATAATTTTAGTATAGATTTTGTATAGGAAATTAATTGTCTGTGTTTTATAGGTAGGTATGTACTTATTATGTACAGTTGCGGCCATTGGAATTGGCACAAATTTTTGAATGCACCTTGTATTCCATCAAAAAAATGAACTATTTGACTTTTTGAAGTGAAAACTTCTTTAGAATCGTTGGGAGTGATTTGAGACTCGATGAAATGAAAAAGCGACCCGATGAAATGAAACGAAAAGCAACACTTTTTTAACACGCTTATAATTAACACACAATACACAACAAGAACCTGGAACAAGCCAAGTGAGCTGGAACAAGTCTGGAAAAGTCTGGAAATCTCTGAAAACGTCTAGAAAAAACCTGGAAATTTCTGGAAAGGGTCGGAAAAATTCTGCCAAAGGTCCCAAAAGACCTGGGGATCATTTTCCAGAATCCGGATCAGTATGTATGTCTGGATAAGATCTGGATAAAGTCTGTAAAACTCTGGAAAACCCTGGATAAGTCTGGGTATTGTCTGGAAAAGTCTGGAAATCTCTGGAAACGTCTGGAAAAAGCTTGGAAATTTCTGGAAAGGGTTGGAAAAATTCTGAAAAAGGTCCCAAAAGACCTGGGGATCATTTTCCAGAATCCGGATCAGTCTGAACAAGTCTGTTAAAGTCTGGATTAATCTGGATGAAGTCTGGAAAACTCTGAAAAGCTCTGGAAACGTCTGGAAAGAGCCTGGAAATTTCTGGAAAGGGTCGGAAAAATTCTGCCAAAGGTCCCAAAAGACCTAGGGATCATTTTCCAGAATCCGGATCAGTCTGTACAGGGTGCTGCAATTTGGAGTGTTTTTACAGAAAAAACACAATTCCAGACCAGATAGAGGAAAATTGACTTAGATATCATGGAATCGATTTTCGAGAAACGTCGATTGTCAAAAACCGTATCGCGATATCTTCAATGGTACCATTAATACATGGCGATTTTCGATTTTCCCCTATTATGAAAAATGGCCATAAGTTTTTTATTTATCAATTTTTTTCATTTCTGTAAAAACATTATGGAGACACTTTTTTGAGCACAATCCAATGGCGGACTCGGTTTTTTTCTATATCGCTCCGATTTCGAGATATCGACCAAATTCCGATATTTTCAAATGAAACATCCTCTATAATAATAGCTCATTGGATAGCTCTGTTTTTGCTCATTTCAATGATATAAAGTTCGATAGGTTTATCTCTAACAGTTTTCTAGAAAAAAATTTATATCTGTTTCAGTCATAAGAAACAATGTGTTAGAAAGAGACCTTCCTCACTTTCCTTACACATATAAAATCCTTTTCTAACACATTGGTCCTTACGACAAAAATAGATATGATTTTTTTTCTCGAAAACTGTTAGAGATAAACCTATCGAACTTTATATCATTGAAATCAGCAAAAAGAGAGCTATCCAATGAGCTATTAATATATAGGGAGTTTCGGAATCTGGACGATATCTCGAAATCGGAGCGATATAGAAAAAAACCGAGTCCGCCACTGAATTGTGGTCAAAAAAGTGTCGTCATAATGTTTTGACAGAAATAAGAAAAATTGATAAATAAAAAACTTATAGCCATTTTTAATAATAGGGGAAAATCGAAAATCGCCCTGTATCAATGGTACCATTGAAGATATCGTGATACGATTTTTGACAATTGACGTTTCTCAAAAATCGATCCCATGACATTTAAGTCAATTTTTCTCTATCTGGTCTGGAAGTATGTTTTTCCTGTTGAAACACTCCAAATTGCAGCACCCTGTACAAGTCTGGATAAGGTCTGGATAAATCTGGATAAAGTCTGTGAAACTCTGGATATTGTCTGGAAAAGTCTGGAAAAGACTTGGAAATTTCTGGAAAGGGTTGGACAAAATTCTGAAAAAGGTCCCAAAAGACCTGGGGATCATTTTCCAGAATCCGGATCAGTCAGTACAAGTCTGGATAAATCTTGATGAAATCTGGAAAACTCAGGAAAGCTCTGAATAAGTCTGGAGAATGTCTGAAGAAGTTTGGAAATCTCTGGGGCTGGCACGCTTTTATAATACATCGAACTAAAAAGTGAAAAATAAATATATTTTGAAAAAACTAAAAAACACGCTTTCATGGTAAATTGAACTAAAAAGTGGAAAATAATTTGTAATATAAAAAAAAAATATTAATGAACAAAAAATATTAGAATTATTGTGAAAAAAGCGTGGGGTGCTCAATGTATAAGAAATGTGGAACAAAGCACCCCAGCGTGTATTTTAGTTTTTTTAAACTATATTTATTTGCGTTCTTTCTCAAGTCTTTTGGAGGGGGGGGCGCCACTGTGTATGTTAGTTTGTGTGTAATGCATGCAGTTCGATGAAGGTTTCACTTCTACCGGGTGTGAACTCCACAGGATTTTTTTTTAACAAGCCGTTAATGCCAAAATTTTGTCAGTTTTGGCTTTATACAAAGCGCGTTCAAAAATTTGTGCCAATTCCAATGGCCGCGACTGTACCCTACCAGTACCATTGAATAATAATAGGTCTGTTTCTGCAGAAATCACAAACCAGTCAGAGTGAATTTCATTGGTTGAAACTAGTTTTCTGACTGTTTTCAACCAATGGAATCCGCTCTGACTGGTTTGTGATTTCTGCAGAAACAAACCTAATATTATTAGGATAAATAAAAACAAAATAATAAATAGTTTTATAAGTATGTATTTTTACAGTAATTTTCTGTCACTAATAAATTCATTATATAAAAGGAACTTAGACCGATCTACAAAAAAATAAATAAATAATTCATAATTCAAAATAAAAACATAAATTTCTAAGTGGCAAATTCGCCAAATATACTGAAAACCCCAAAGAAAATGATAGAACATAGCATCCATTGATATTCTTTGCTTAATTATAAAATAATATGTGTTGAAAAATTAAAGAAGTTCAGGATTCTAAAATATCGCTACAAATAAATTACTAACGATAAAAAAAAATTGCATTTTCAATATTTACAAAAAAAACTATTTATACATATTAATATTGGGTTTTTCTGGAACCTACCAGGGTGTGCGAAATACCTGAGGTACTTAGGTACGGTACGTACCCACTGTCCTAAAAATAAAATAACAAAATCGTTGCGTTTGAGCGATTTTTGCTATTTTTTAGTGGGGGACAAATATTTGACGTGGAAAGTTTCCGTTGGCCCTCCCTGTTTAGTATAGATTTTAGATTTCTCAGCATAGGTAAAGATTATACAGCATGGGTAAAAAGAATGGAACACTTACAGGGGTTTGAAAAGAATCGCTCGGACCTGTCAATTTTATTTTTAAGCTGCGCATTTTTCGGAGATTGAGTTTAACCGGAATTTTCAATCATGAATTAAATACAAAGTTGGTGTCAAATGATGGGTTTATGGAAAATTGATAAGAATGTATGATCGGTTTTGCTCTTAAATTAACCGTCAAGGTTTTAGAGCCTGTCAAAGTTGCAAAAAAATCAACTGTCAATATTTCCGAAACAGTTGAAGATAGGTATAGGACATTATACATAGAATATTTCAATATTTTTTTGTAGAATCCAAAAATGCAATAACATACAGGGCTGCCGTTGGAAATAACAAAGTTGATGCAAGTAACACCATTTCTGGAACACCCTGTCTATTTTTTTTCTCCAAAAAAAGGGGAAGCTCAAAAATAAAATTGACAGGTTCGAGCGATTTTTCAAAAAAAAAAGATAGTTTCCAAACGCCTGTAGGTGTTTCATTAAAAAAAATAAGGCTTTGGATTTGGATTTCGTAACGAAGATTATTCTGAAATAAACCTGAAAGAATTGAAATATGTAGGTACCTTCTACTGGTTTTTCAAATTTTTCATCTTTTGTTTTAAATCTTTTTTTAAATTATGTCTTGACCATTTGCAATATTTGAAGAGATTGGTGCTTACCAGGTGAGATATTAAAAACGATCTATGCTCATAACAAGGATTATTGTTGTCACCTAACCATTGAACATTTTCTGTGATAATTTTGTTTTTAATCCGTGCACCAACAGACTCTTGATGTTTATAGATATCAAAATATTCATTAAATATCAACATAAATCGCTGAACCATTGCATGCATATTTACAGAAGGTACTAATAGATGTATGGTTTCATTGCAACCATAGTTTTTGTTTAACAAAAATATATTTTTTTTGTCAGAAAGTAAAGAATAATCACGTGCTTGAAATGAAGATCGGCAAACATCGCATTGAAATTTATCCAGCGTTTTTTTAATAAGATACCCTGCATAATAAGAAATTGCGCAATCTTCCAGATCAGTTTCTTCCGCGGAATTACTCGTAGATTTAGGATCGGTATTTGTATTAGATTCAGACACGGTATCGTCTAATAATTGATCCTCTAAAAATGCATCAGTAGAGCTAGTAGATGGTTGCTTATTCTCATTCTGATAATGCAGAGCTTTTGATGTTGATGCCAATAATATATTGGGGCAAGTTGGTTGTGTGAGTTGGATGTCTGAATCTTCCTCACAATTGGACAACTTTGACGGTTTTAAAAGATTAGTTATTGATTGGATTCTAAAAGCAAGTCTAAAAGATTTTGCTGAGGGATTCAGACTCCATCCACCACGTTGTCTAATAATGGAAAAAGAATTCTCCAGGAAGTCCTGATTGAGACGATTAGTTAAAATAAAATGATTTCCGTCTTGCTTTTCATTTTCAAATAGAGCCAGTATTGCATTAATTGTTTGCACCATACCGTCAAAACATGGTGGTCTACTATATCTAAGAATAGATTTTGTTTCTGATTTTTTAGGCTTTGAATTAGACACTTTTATTAAAGATGAAAACATATCTCTGCTAGTTCTTAGAACTTCCAAAACCGCAGGATTTTTTTCACTGAGGCCGCGATTAAAAGGATTTTTGTCATAAAGGCGTTTACTGTTTAAGGCGTCAAATAAATTATTTAAAGTGAGAACAAATTCTGCAGTATCTAATCCTTCTTTATTATTAATTAAATTTAATTCGACGCATGTTTTGATAGCAAAAGCAACTGTTTTGGAAAAAATTTGTAGGGCTAGACGACAGGACATTTTTTCGAACGGACTTGGATTTAAATGTTTGTCACTAATTTTTGTCAATGCTCTAGCTGTTTTGGATGCTCTATCAATTTCTACGGTTTTTCTTATCACATCAAAAGATATAATCTTATCCTCAAGTTTATAAGTTCCTGTGAGCAAATTATTCCTAAGACTCTTAAAAAGGTGGGGGACATCAAAAATGGCAAAAATTGTTTGATCTTTTGAAATAAAAAATGGGCTTTCTTTTGTTATTCCTAAAGATTTGAACGCTGATCGATTAGTAGAGCCCTGATCACACACAATAGCTTTTGGAATGAAACCGATTTTTTGTAATTCATTAGTAACATAAATAATTAATTGTTTTAATATAGTTGAAGGTGCCGAGTTATAGGAAAAAAAGTAGGCTATAGGCATTTTCCAATTGGAATATAAACCTCTCATTGAGAACGCTAATGCATGTGATGCTTCTTTAGATGTTCTACCGAGTGGACCAAAGTCTTCAAAACCTTCAATAATATCTAATTTTTTATTGTATTCTAGACAGCTCTTGATACTAACTTCATCAAACGCAATTACACATTTTTTTTCTTGTTTACTCATAGTAGCACATTTCATTTGAAGATGTTCCCTACAGTTTTCATCAAGTCCAGCTTTGAAGAGATTTGAAGAAATCCATCTTCGAATCGTACTTACTGCAGGTAGGATGATTCCCTTCCGCCTCAAGAAACAATATGCTGCTGGACTTTTATAGAAAAAAGATATGGCAAATTCTTGCTCTTTGCGGTTCCACACTTTCCTTCGTGAACCTCGAAATTGCATTAAAACAAACGTTTGGGCAATACTAGATAAAACAGTAATAGCAGGCATAAGATTAGATTTAAAATTTCTGGCGTTTTTAACTTTTTGAGACAATTCTTTTAGACGGCATTTATAATTCTTTAGTTTTGAAACGTTACATCTGAGTTTTTGTTTTAATGCAATTTTACGAGGAGTATATTGTGCATCTGGTAAATCTGAAAGTTCATTTGCAAAAGAGTTATCTAGATTTTCTTTAGGTCGTTTTTTTTTTTGAGAATTTCAATCTGACATTTCAGGACTACAAAGTGGAAGTATATGTCTATTTTGGTAAGTTCGTTTTGGCGTTAAAACCTTTAAAGCTTCATAGACTTTTGGAACTGCATCTTTTTTTAAGTAAAATTTTTTTTCAGTCCTATAATCTTCGTCTGTAAAATGATTCTCGCACAGGTATTTATTTCGAATATCTTCAGGAGCTAGTCCAGCGAGTGAAGGATTTCCTTAAAACAAAAAAAAATATATAACAATAGTTTTTCTTTTTCAAACTCTAAAAACCCTTATAGT